AGCTCGGTCATCTGGGAGGGGCTCGGAGTAGACCCGCTGCTCCTCCAACATCAAGAGGAGCCAGTTGAGGTGGCTTGGGCATCTGGTCAGGATGCTTCCTGGACGCCTCCCTGGTGAGGTTTTCCAGACATATCCAACCGGGCTGAGGCCTAAATGTAGACCCAGGACACGGTGGAGGGACTATGTCTATCACCTGGCCAGGGAACGCCTTGGAACTCCCCCGGAGGAGCTGGCTCAAGTGGCTGGGGAGAGGGAAGTCTGGACGTCTCGACTTAGGCTGCTGTCCCTGCAACCCGACTCTGGATAAGCGGCTGAAAATGGATGGATGGATGGATGGATGTCATTAACAGACTTCTGTAGAACTTGGTGAGCTGCTGCACAAGTGAATCAACTGTATTGGTACAGGGAAACAAGAAAAAGATGCAGGATACCGGCCCTCAAGGACTGGAGTTTGACACAGCTGTTTTAGCCAATAGCAATGGCTGATTCTAATTTAAATGTAGTGTCAACTTTTAACCTGAAGAGGGCGCCACACAGACAGTTTTAGGCAGATTATTCATATTTTAAATAAAGTGCACTAAAAGGACAAAATTGACAGAGTTGAAAAAAAAATGCATCATCAATCTGGAAAGCGGGAGACCCCAAATTGCAGATGAATTTAAGAGATGCAGTAAACTACAATGATAATGACATGTCACAAGTAGCCTCCTGTGTAATACCCAACTTTTTACACACAACCCAGATGGGACTTGAACCCACAATCCCCAGCTCCGGAGGCTGATGCCTTATCCATTAGGCCACTGAGTCACTATACTGTACACCACTCAAGCTTTAACTAACACCAACTGTTTGCTTAGATTTTGATGGTTTTTTGATTTTTTATTTCATTCTGAGGAAAAAAACTGAACAAGCTGTCCTCTGTTCAGCAGCTAAGTGGCCATTTTATTCAGAAAAGTGACCGTTTATAAGCTGTTTGTGGCCTTTGTTATTTAGTCTTGCTTGAACACAAATCTGTTACTCAGTATCTCTTTAAAATCACAATCAAGAATTTAAATATATATTGTCGCTTTGCAATCCAGTGATCAGGAACAGTTTAGATCTCGTTTGTTGAAGCCAACGCAAAAAAGAAAATATTTGTGCTTTTCTGAAATCTTGCAGCATAACAACCCTTTTGAACATCCGACCTCACTCGCTCTGTAAAGCATGAATTGTGGGGTAATTAGAATATACTTTAGCAAGAGAGGGGGATGAGTTAAAGCACAGCGGGGTCAAGCTGTTAATCATCCCGTTAGCAGGGTTTTCTCAATCAATACCACATTCCTCTGGGGTTTCTCCCAGGAGGATATAACACCACAATGTTGTTCTTTTTCCATAAAAAACACTTTCTATACACTTTTATTTGCCTGGGGGGGGGGGGGTTAATCACCTAAATTTCTGAACCAACCAGTCACGAGCTTTGTTTATTGAATACTAATTCCTGCTGTGAATCAGATATCCACGGATGCTCCTGTGCCGTGCGTGATTGCACATCCTCAGGTAGGCTTCCTCTCATTATTACAGCCTGGCTCTGCATCACAAATTGAGATTTTATGAAGAAAAACACAGAGGGGAGGAGCTGCTTGTGTGTGTGTGGAAACACACTGACGCACCTGTTTACGTCACACGTCACAAAAGGTATGAAGTCACAGTTTGTGACAGCAGATTAAGGCAACATCTGTGCTGTTTATGACGTCTAAACCATTCCAGTGTATGAAATGAAACATTAATGTATTCTAATTAGGTTATAATTTAGAGCAGGGGAATATTTGGGTTTTCTAGAGTGTGCTAACCGACAATCACCAACAGTTTGGGTTAAATTTCTGCAGCTAACTAACTGAAAAACCATTCGGTGGGAATCTGTTTGGGTTTGATGCCACAGTTATTTCTATAAATTACATTGAAGTAGGCAACTTTTTGATATTTTAAAATCCTTTTCTTGAGCCAGTGTTTGCTAAAATGACCCTTTACAGGGTTAATGAAATGCCACGCAGAACTACACCACCCTCGGTGGCCAGAAAACTGCATTTGCAACTTCAGAGTGCTGGTATGGTAAAGAAAAAAATGGAGCTGATTTACCTGGCACTGCAATCTGCTTCCAGCACGTTTCCTGCATGTTTTGGACCGTGAACACAGATGATTAGTTTAATTTAGTGATGAACTGCTCCTGTAGACACTAATGAAGGCTGGAGAGACATTTCAGCTGTTAGACTAGGTCTTAAAAAGGCGAACACACAGCGAGGAAATTCGTTTTGCTTTTGGTTCTACTAAACTGACACTAGGGGGTGCTAAAAGCAAGAAAAACTGCTAAGTGTGCCTCTCATTAAAGGGTATAGACCTTTATACAGGGAAGGTTATTTAACAGAATCTGGCTGGGGTACATTTTTAAGGAAACACTACAAACACCGCCTTTAAGTATTTCCAATTAGTCTTTACAACAATACTAACAGCCATTTCTTTAGTAGGCGACGGTGGCACAGGAGTTAAGTGCTCGCTCTGTAATCACAAGGTTGCAGGTTTGAGCCCCGCTCCGTTTGTCGCTGTGGTTGTGTCCTTGGGCAAGACTCTTAACCCACGTTGCCTGCTGGTGGTGGTCAGAGGGACCGGTGGCGCCAGTGCCCAGCAGCCTCGCCTCTGTCAGTGCGCCCCAGGGCAGCTGTGGCTACATCGTAGCTCATCCCCACCAGTGTGTGAATGGGTGAATGACTGATTGTGTTGTAAAGCACCTTGGGGGGTTCCAGGGCTCTAGAAGGTGCTATATCAAATACAGGCCGTTTACCATTTAGATACAACAACTTTTCACTTAATTTTAAAATGTGAATATTTAGAAACCAAATCTGTCAACGGAGTTATTTTTCTCAGTGACAACATGAGTCTTAGCAACTCTTTTCCATCCATCCATTCATCCATTTTTAAGTCCAGGCTCAAGACCCATCTTTTTAGGTTAGCTTTTATCTAAATATTTACTACAGTTTTATGTCTCGTTTTACATGATTATATTTTATTAGTTGCTTTGCATGTTTAGTATGATTATATTTTAGCACAGTTTTATTATTTAATATGATTATTTTACTGTCTATATGATTTTATTTATTACTTATTTTCTTACCTTTGTCATTTATATTAGCTCTTTTATTATATTTTTACTCATTTTAATCCAGTGCTTCCTCTGTAGGGGCCCTCTGCCCCGGGAGCGGTGGTCGACTGTAGCTTCCTGGGCGCTCTATAGGTGGGGGTCTATGCTCCCCCTCCACTGAGCGCCCTGACTTAGTGTGGAAGACCTGATGCTGCCGGGGCAGAGGGCTCCTCTGATGGCGTTTCCTTGCCTTACCTTACTTGGCTCATCTGGACTCAGCCAAATATAATTTTTACTTGTGTGTGTGTGTGTGTGTGTGTGTGTGTGTGTGTGTGTGTGTGTGTGTGTGCGCGTGTGCTTGCATATGTCTGTTAATGTTTTTAACCTGTTATGGGAATCTGGGGTCATTTTGTAAAGCACTTTGAGTAGCACTTTGTTTGAAAAGCGCTTTAAAAATAAATTTGATTGATTGATTGATTGATCCATCCATTTTCAGCTGCTTAACCGGGGTTGGGTCGCAGAGGCAGCAGCCTGAACAGGGAGGCCCAGACTTCCTTCTCCCCACGTGGGCCAACTCTACTGGAGGATTCCTAAAGCCTCTATATGTGCTCACCATCTCTAACGTTTCCCATCATTTCCTTCCACGCTTGCTCGGTATTTTGCGGTGCTGGTGATGAATTTACAGGAAGCAGCGTCCTGACCAATCTCGAGCTTCCGGTCTCCATCATTTTCGACGGATGTTTAAAATTTTGGGCATGTCTCTGTCACCCTGAGCCTGTCTGAGAGCACTTGGGACAACACATAATGGCGTTGCGTGTCTCTGCATTGACGCAGACGGAGAAGTATAAATCAGGCTGAAGGCGTTTCCTGCCCAGCCAAGAGACACAGTCCCTCCAGCGTGTCCTGGGTCTTCCTTTATGTCTTTTCCTGGTTGGACATACCTGGAAAACCTCACCAGGAAGGCATCCAGGAGACATCAAAACCCGATGCCTTAGCCACCTCTTCTGGCTCCTCTCGATGTGGAGCAACAGATCTACTCTAGCCCCTCCCAGATGACCAAGCTTCTCACTCTATAAGTTGCTTAACAGTAAAAAATAAATAAACAAATAAAGTCATTATCTGTGACTGTGACACCTTCACATCTGAGGTAAAAAAAAACACAAAACAAACCACAGACCTATTTGGATACATGCTGCCATCTTTCTCATTCATGTGTGATCTTAAAATTCCCGTGGACGTTTCTGCTGCCGTTTTGCATCTTAAATGCTCATGTTGGGTGGGGGGCTCACGGGTAAAATGCGTGAAGTTGTGCGCTTCTTACGAATCCAGTGAAAAGACAGATTTTGGTTCAGCCCTTAGCAGGGTGGCCACATAGGGGTCCAAACTTACTGCTAGGGTGGCACTGGCCCACCCTGACAATATCTCTAGAGCCGCCCCTGCCTTTACAGCCCCTAATTTGGAGGCCCTAACTTCACACTTTGGTGCTTTTCATCTCACCTTGGCGGCTTGTTTGAGTTCAGAACACCTCTTAGTCTCTTATTTTTGAAAAACACATATTAAATCCTTTTTTCATGCAACAAAATGCTATTTTGACCTTTTGAGAGTGAGATGAAGATTTTCAGCCGCAGATGTTTGGATCCTTTTTGTGCTGCCTTGCGATCAAATTGATTGATGAAACCCACCCACCTGTTGTGCTGGTGGATCACCGCGTGTTCACTGATTTAAAGTTGTCCACACGTCACTGACTTGTTGATGGAGTGCTTTGCTGCGTGACGAATATCAGGAAGGGTTTGAACCTGAATGGCTGTTTTCTTAAAGAGATGAAGAGTAGGAGAGAGGATGAGGAGGGAGGGAGGAAGAGGGTGGGGGGGGTGATGCATGCTGTGGTCTGGGATCAGTGAGTGTTCATTCATCAGCCAACAACCTCTGGAACAGCATGGATATATAAGCTGGAGTCACACCTGCTTCTCCTAAAAGACTCCAAACCTCCATCAGCTGAGTTCAAACCGCAAAGTTCAGGGTGAGTTTTATTCAGTTGTATCATTTTATTTAAATAGTTCAATTTATTCATCTGGACTTGTGTAAATGTACATTTTTATGTTCAATTTAAACTTTCACCACGTTAAACATAATAAAACTACAAATAATAAATGTTTTAATTGGCATTATTTGACTAATTTGTATAATTAGCGTCCTGTCTGTTTTCTAGTGCCTTGCCAGACTCCACAGCATGCTCCCCGGTAGGGAGGCTGATGTCCGGCGGGACTGCGTCCTGACGAGCCGCTGGTTGCCCGCAGCTCTCGCGCTGCTCCTCCTCCTCTCCTGCAGCTTCAGCCGCGCGCACAGCACCACGGTGGAGCACGACTTCCACATCGTCCACAACGTCGACAACAGAAGTAAGAAACTCTCATCCTTCATGTTTTACCATTTTTAGTCGAACAGAGTTAGACTTTGACAAGATTAATGAGCAAGTTTTAGGTTATTTTTAGAATACTTTTCAAGTTTCATTTGAGGAAGTAGTCGATTTATCTTTCTGTAATCGATTATTTGGAGCTTGTGATCACACATTTAACACTTTCATGCATAAATTACAATAATGGTCGAGATTTTTTTTAAATCTTTTGAAAATCAAATTTTATATTTTAAAACTTTTCACTTATACTCAGGAAGATGTAAGCCTTCAGATTGATTATTTTATTCTAGTTTTTATTTATTTTATTAAATTATAAGAATTGAATAGTATCAGTTATGTGCATCAGGGACTACAGTCAGTAATCCTGGCCTATTTATATGTTCATTAAGTGTACCATCGAGCATAGCTGAAGAGGTTAAGCTGTAAATAGATCCAGTGTGTAAAATGATACATTTATAGCTTAATCCTTCAATTTAAAACTATATATATATATATATATATATATATATGTATATATATATATATATGTATATATATATATATATATATATATATATGTATATACATATATATATATATATGTATGTATTCTTTTTAAGTCTGAGTATCTTACAGCTGCTTCACTTCTTTTATTTGTTCAAATATCAATGACATAATTGATAAAATTATGTATGAAACCTGTGTGTCGAGAGTAAAACGGTGAAACTTAAAGCTGTACAGTAACAATAACACTCCGTCGCTTTCCTGTGACCAAACATCCTTTGCTTAATTCGTCCCTAATGCATGTTTCTGCTCCAGGTCCGGAGATAGACCCGTTCTGGTACGTGGGGCGTGGAGTGAGACCCATAGGGCGTTTTGGGAAGAGACACAGCAGCGGAGACACACTGGACAGCAGCAACATGCAGCCTGTCGTCAGGACTTTGGAACTGCTGCTCAACAGCCTCAGAGATAAGGAAAACCTTGGAAAAGTACTGGATGGAGAAGATGGAGACTGGTTACCGTGATGAAACGTCGCCCTTGCCATCGGTTTGCAGTCTTCTTTTTATAAGATAACACGTTCATTTTCCACGTATGTCTCTTTAAAGTCTACCGGTCATTGTAAAATCATCTCCTGATGTTTCTGTACATATTAATGTGTTCTGAATTGGGTAATAAATGAAGATGTCAGTATAACTGGTCACCGTCTCCTGTATGCAGATTTACTTTCAAAATGAACACTCTTTTTATAAGTTTGCAAATGTTTTATTTGTTCCATAATACATTTTTAATCTCTGAGATTATTGTGGCACAAAGAGAATCTTCATTTTTTTTGCTTTCCCGTATTTACTCCCAACATGGCGTACGGATCGCAACAAACGGTTACACGTAAAGAGTGAGCGGCCCGCCTGTGGAGCGGTGCACATTCAGACTGGATTTAAACAGGAACTAAAGTATTTTTTGTTATTGTCCAAATTCCTTCCTGTCTGGGTTTCATTCCAACAGCAATAACCACTTCTTGTGTGAATCTCACAAGTTCAGAACAATGTTTACAGCCTCTTGCACACAATACTGAAAGATTTGTCAACTATGATTTGGCAATAAACAAGTTATACTATACCATTTCCATCTTTTCACACATATACACATATTAACAAACTCTGTGATGAGAGATAGCTGTTTTTCTTCTTTTTGTACATTAGAAAAATACAGGACACTGATAGTTGGACCCTTGCGGATGTGCTTCTCGTGGGAAACTTTACATCGATTCGATAAAACCAGAAACATGCTTTTTTACAACAACATCTTTGGAGAACAAGACTGACGAAAAGGACATGATCGGTGTGCAAACTCAAAGCTGTGATGAAAGGGGGCCAGAGCATTCATACTGAAGATCATCACATCTTTTAAGCAGTCGAACAGAACATCCAACCCTGCTCTCAAGCTTCGTTGAAGCAAAACAAACATTATGCATGCTTAAATCAGATCCTGATGAATGCAAGCGGTCACAGAAGGAGGAAAAAAACACCCAAATGAACCAAAGGCAGTCTCCACAAACCTAGTGTTTAAGGAGAGTACGAGAACACGGTGACTCATACTGACCAACACATAAAACTAAATTCTTATCATTTGTGTTTTTGTAGCATTTTGCATCATCAGTAACGGTAAAAGGCTCCCAGTCAAAAGCACTCCGAGAGTCTGAACTGAGGAGGTTTCCATAGAAGGGAAAATAAAGCCTTTAATTCGCAATATTTCAGTGGTATTGCATAAAAATGTTCAGTAAGTATAAAAATAAATCGCTCGTAACAAAATCATGTTTTTATGGCGTTTGTTATACAGCCTGCCTGATGTTGTTATGTAAAATCTTTACACCTTAATTTAACACAAAAGTTCCAATATGATCCAGCAAAGGTACAAATCATACAGCTTATTCAACAAAAGGCCACAAAGTTCAAACTAACAAAAAAGATAAAAAAAAAACGGAATATTCCGACATGAAAAAAAGTTTTTACATCAAATTTTCTTTGCTTTGAGCTTGACCTTGCAATTTTTTGTTACTGATACTAGTCCTGAGCTAAAATTAAATTAAATGAGAGTTAAAGTGATATTTCACCCCTAAGTGAAATTGTATCTGTTGCCATATTCCCCAGACTTAGATAAGTAGGAAACAAACATTTTGAAACCAGCCCAGTCATTTTTCAAATCTGTCAGTATTCTGTTAGCTTTAGCTTAGCATAAACAGTGGAAGTGAACAGTACCAGCTAGCATCTTGTTAAAAAAACCATGAAAATCCCTCAATAATGATCCTAATTTGACTTGATCACCTCAATATTCACATCGACTAAAAATGACAATAATAAGGAACATGAAAGAATTACAGGAGTTGATTTAGACTTGGATTACCTTACGACAAAGCACCGCTGTAAACCGCCACTGCAAGGCGCAACAACACCACACAGGATCCTCAAAACTTGTAGTTTACTGTCATTAGGTTTACTGTATAACATTTACAACATTTTACTCTAATGAAAGTAAATGATGAGTTTTGGGGCCACGGTGCTTTGTAGCTGCTAGCTGTTACCATTCACTTACATTGTTTATGCTAAGCTAAAGCTAACCGAATACCACCAGATTAGGATAGTGCCTGAGCTTTTCCCCCACTTGTCTAACTCTGTGGAATATGGTAACAGGCTAAATTTCAGTTGGGTAGAATATTCCTTTAAATCCAGTGGATTAAGCTACAGTATTTGTTTTCTTTATTTCTAGAATAGGTTGGGCTACCTCTGTCAGACCGCTTCAGCGGCGCTAGCTCATAAATAAAATGTTGCAAAGTTTTTCAAGTGATTTGTTCTTAGCATACTTCTCAAGTGTGCTTTGTAGTATTTATGGATACAAACACTATGGCCCTGATACTTTGCATATCCAAACACTGAGATATTATGACTGCATTTTTCTTCTATTTAAATAGCAAAATATGAAAAAATTACAACCAGCTTTACTTTACCATTCAACAGCTTAATTTATTTGTGAGAAAAGGAAAAATAAACCTTTTTGTGGGTGAATAAGTTCTTGTATTTACTCATATTTCATTTGGTGAGTAAATTATAGTAATAAAGTAGAAAAAGTATCTGTATTTGGGAAAATTTCACATGAAATTTTATGTTTAATAACAACATTCTTTTTTTTCATCTGTACAGTGTTTTAGTTATGCTTAACATGAGGAGTGTTTTGAAGATTTTAAGGCAGAAACTGCCGAGTCATCCTTGCATTAATTACGCTGTGAAGAGTGAAAGAAAAGCCGATGATTAATGACGTAAAAGATAAAGAGCCAGTCATGATTTTGGTGATTTGGGACTGAGTGCGAGTGCTGGGTGCAGGGCAGGTGTTTGGCCCCGGTTTGGCCTACAGCTGGAGGCAGATGCTGCATCAAGGCACTAGATGTGAGGGGCCCCTGTCCCAGAGGGGGCTCTACAGTGGCCCTTAGGGACGAGTTGTGCTGCTCTCTGTCACTATGGCCGAAGTACTCTCACCTGCTGCTCTGACTCCAGCTTTTCTGAAATGCAAAGAAAAAAATAAAAACCAAATGAATCAAAGGAGCAATAAAAACAGCCCTTGTTGTCAAGAAATAATCACAAGAACAAGGATGACTCAGGACAGTCCTCCTGGCAACAGTATGATGGACTGACAGGAAGAATGCGCTAAGCTGGACTGATTTATAAGATCTGCTGCTCGTCTTTGAAGCCAAACTGAATAACTGGCTGTTGTAAGGATGCAAAAAAAAAAAAAAAAAAAAAAAAAAAAAGAATGTAAGAATATAAAGAAAGCTCCAACAGGAAAAAAGCCATTTACAAGCATGAAAAGAAGCCGACTCCTTGTGGTTTGATAAAACGGTCCCATCCTCCCGAACTCTATTTCCATTTAGCTGCTTTACATCTAATGGACCTTTTCAGTTCCTCAGCCCTTTTTTATAACAAACATCATTTCTTTTACACCCATTCATTGGCCCCATGCCTCTCCTAGGACAAAGAGTTAATGTGTGATGCGTATTAAGGGCAAAATAAAATGCTCTCTTGAGTCTTTCTGTCTCCTCTTTAAGAACCCTGAAACAGAAATGGCTATAAGGCACCAAGTCGTGGCTGGTTAACCACCAGTAAAATTCAAGGAGAAGAAATAAAAGCTTAGGTCACTGCCATTTCTTCACTCCTCATCTTCTCTGCCAGTTTGCATGTTTTGGGCTAGGATCTGTGTCAAAAAGACCCCACAGAGGTTTCACATCAATATGTATTATTGCCAAAAGGATTTCTGTGTTTCCCAGTATTCTCAAGAGCATGGCGGAGATGTTAGGAGACCGCCATTAACTCTAGAGAAGATGGCCAAGGCTGTAGAAGGTCCTCCACCCATCAGATGGACTGGTTCCTGCTCAGTTGTGCAAAGAAAAATCAAGATGAGTAGAGTCAGAACTCTACAACAAGTCATCTAGCAGAGAACTGCCAATAGTTCACTCCTATTTGTTGATGGTGAGAGCAGGCTCACCCTGAGCACTTGTGTCAGACATGAAGGGGTCTGGAGAACCCTTAGCATGACCATTTAGGTACTGGTTATCATTAGGTATTGGGATAAAGTGATTGAACCCATTGTCCTGGGTTCTTCAATGCCTTACCTCATATGGTGAAAGTGTGTAGGAAGTTCCTGATGGATGAAGAAATTGACACCATTGACAGGCGTCCACACCCACCTGACCTTAAGTCAGTAGATGGGTCCATCTAGCATATAAAGGTGGGCCCCATGTAGAGCAGGTGTTTTCTGAGGTTACCCTGGTGACTCCACAGGAGTTTCCCCACAGTATGGAAAACTCGTTTAATCAATACATTTGCAGTGGTCTCTGGTAGGAATGAATGCCTTGCGAACCGTACTCGGGGCAAAAAATGCCCACAAGCGCTTGGATCAGCCAGGACAAGTCTGCCGCAGCACAGAACGGCACAACAGGTTTTGGAGTCTTATTTCCTGATATTTTTACATCTCGCCTCGGATTGGATAACAGCAATGTGACTCTACCACTGACTTGCAACATGGACGTTTAATCTCCACAAATCTCACAAGCTTGGAGGAGTTCTGCTATGTGGTGCAGTTGCTAATGCTAACGGTTAGCTTTTACTAGCTGGGACGTTATGTGTTGATTCTTGAACACTAAAACAACAACAGCCTTCCCCCTCAAGATGGGTGAGTCCATGAATGTTGAGGGACAGTGTGACATAGATCTGTCAGGAATTTCAAATCTTAGAGTTCCAGTTTATTTTCTATCAGAAGCTAATGCAGGAGATAGGTGTAAGACTATTTTCATGTTCAGTCTGCATGAAAAACTCACAGTGACCAACTGTTATCAAAAATAATCATTAAAAAAATGGTTTCCCACAACTTCATCGCCTCTTCATGGGTTTTCAGAGGGACCTAGATGGTTTGACCCATATGTGGGCAAAGCCCTGTGGGGCCACCATGGAAAACAGGGACAAAACATATTGGAACAAAAACAGTTTGTCCATTTAATTCCACACGGGGCCCACCCATGTGGGACATCCTTCCATTCCCAGTCCAGCCTGCTTTTTTGTCTTTTTCATTGCAAATCTTTATGTTTCCAAAGTTTTCCTTTAATTTTGAAGCTGGTCATGTTTATCTTTTTTTTTTCTAAATAAAGAAAAACAACAGACAGATGGTTAGTACCTCTCAGGGGAGGCGCTGGGAGTTTCCTCCTTTGATGGCGTGAAGAATCGATTGTTTCAGGCTGCAACGAGAGGGAATATCAAACAATTATAACCACAGAATCCATTAAATCCTGACCTGATGTCGTGCATGCACTTGTTCGCTGCCTAAAGCCTGTTAGCTTTGAGGCTATAAAAATGAAGGAATGAGACAGCTAAAACCACGAGGTACCTTGGACTTGGGTTTCAACTTGAAGCGATTGCAGACAGTCACATTCAACCCTGCTGTTTTCAGAGCTGATATCCTGGCCTCGATGTTTGATATCTTCAAACATAAAGAAGACTCAAGTAAAGCACATCATCCCTGATAAAATATTTTGGGATCATTTGATCATGTACCTGAAGTTCAGATTGCTGGACCTGAGCTGCTGCAGTGGCCACCTGGTCCTCCAGGAAGGCCAGCTCCGTGTCTGTGGTCCCGCTGCTGATCCCGCGGGCACACTGCTCCAGCTCCCCCAGCGCCCCCTCCAGGCCATACACAGCTCCAGCTGCCAGGTAGACCTGCACAGAGAAGAAGAGCTGACCTCCTGGTTTCTATTACCACCTGAACGCTTGAAGCTGTCATCTCACGTTCTCCTCCATCTTGGTGAGCCTCTGGTCCAGCCTGCGGGTCTCGGAGCAACTGGAGATGGGAGAGGCACTCGTGGACTCCGACGGTGTGAAGCTGTCACCTCCCGCCTCTCCAATCAGCTCCTCGGTGGCATTCAGAACCTTCAGCACCTCTGTGGTGATGCTGCAGAGCGATGCTGCTGAATACTTCTGCTGCAAATCACAAAAATGCACGCATAGGTCAGGAGGAAACATCCTTTACTTGACACTCGGTGCAAAGTAGTTTAAAGTGCAAAGAAAAAGTGGAAAACATTAATAATGGAACACAAATTCCTGCCATGTGAGTCTTTTACCTCTATAAACACTCCAAATGTGATAAAAATACGTCTCTTTTTGTCAGTGTTTGGCTTTGGGAATTACGTTCTGTTTCAAAAAGTCCCCGTTTGTGATGTCACAAATGAGGAACTTAGCATAAAACCACCTCTCACATGCAAGAGAGAGCTGCTGCTGGCGGAGCAGCGGCTCTACTCCAAGCCCCTCCCAGATATCAGAGCTTCTCAGCTTATAGTAGCCATTTAGGGCGTCGGTGGGCATGGCCTGCAACAGCTTGTTTTCTTAAAGTGACAGAGCCCTGAAATGGCTCATTCTGGAAGGTACTAAAATATCAACAATAACACTACTGAAATCGCTTCACTTGAGAAGGATTTAATGCAAAGACCTTCATCAACATGTTTTGTATCAACCATAAAACAAGTCACAAAATGCCCCCTTAAAATAATTAAGGAAGGTACAAAAAGGCAATCAAAAAGCATTTTTTAACATTAAATGTTCATTTTTGTGGGGTAAATGGGATTTTTATCAGCTCTCTAACTTCAGTATTCCTGAAAAACACTTCAACATGAGCTAGATTTCCGTTATCATTTTACTCACAAGCGCTTGAACTGAAAAATGAATCAAAGCTTGTAGAGCAAATATTTAAGAACTGTTTTTAAAAAAGAAGCAGGAACACAAGCAAAAAAGCCTCAAGACAAAGGCAGAGGTTTCATTTTTACACTTTGAAAAGCTAAAATACGTCACAAAAGCACTTCAGTTACTAATTAAAGCAAGATTTTTGTGATTTATATGTAATATTTCATAAGAAATGGTTGTTTAAATGTGAAAACTCACAGCTTAATCTAAAATCTGAACATTTGTGGCAGTTATTCTTATTTAAGAAAGCAGCTTTTGAATTAACGAAAAAAAAAAAACAAGAAAAAATGGAGACAAAAGTAAAGAGACGAGATTCGTTAATGAATAAAGGGCTGAAGCTTTGATCAGCGAGGCGTATCGATCTCTTTTTACAGCCATTAGACTAAAAGGCTTCTTAAGGTGATATTAGAAGCAGCAGGTGTTACATCTTTTTTTAAATAAAATTTTATTTATGATTCAGGGATCTTAAAAACACAGTGACAGGAAAATGGATCTGTGGCGCTGAAAGGCGGAGTGGACACATCTTTACTCCCTCTAAAGGACCAGAACGTCAGATCAAACACTCTGACACATTCATGTTGTTTATGCTTTATTTCTCTGACTCATTTGTGGCTCGTCTGGTTGACTTCCTGACAACCATGCGACCGTTCTAAATCTAAAAAATGAAAACTTGCTGAACAAGAGCAATGCGTACTTTGCTTTGATTAAAATGTTCTAATTTTTTAAATAAAAACTGAACTCATTTGTTCATCTGGTGGAAAAATCTCCCTCAGCAAACTTTATTCTTATTTTCTTCGCCCAGCTTCTTGTTTACCCGCTGACGCACACTGAAAACGTCGTGGGTATTTATATCAGCAGCCAGCTCGACGGTATGGAAGAGTCGCTACTTCAGATTAATTAATTTGATAAAGCCCAAACTCCACACTCTGCTGTCCTTTAAAAGCATGTACATTTGATTTAAATACAAATGTAGACAAGAATCTTTTCATTTTTCACCTCTTATCAAAATGTTAAAGGGAGAGCTGTGAAAACCCCTCAGAAATAGAACACACCAGTACACGTGCCTTTCACATCGGAAGAAACAAGCGTGACTCATGAGAGCCTTCATAATACATCTGCCTAATGACAAACAAGGCGTGTTGGTGTGTGTATTCACCTGACTTTGTACTGCTTTAGTTAGATCGGACTCATAAACTCTAAATCAGACTGGAAACAGCGGTTAGTATGCATATTTTTTACAAGTTTCACAAAATTTTGTTCATAATTCTTGATTATTTACTGGTTTGTAGTCTGCTGGGGAAAGGCATCGGTGTTAGAGATGGCAGCGGGTTAAATAAATAATGGACAATCCATCCCAGCCCCTTCAGGACACACAATGGGAACAGGGGACCTCTCTGCCTGACAGATTTGTCAATAACTTCAAAATTCTTACCTTCAATACAGATCATTCTTGAGTGACCATTTATATATATTTTTAACTGTATTAACTGTAAAAGTGAGTTTTGGCCACAAGTTTAAATATTTTGGTATTTCATCTATGGGTGATAGTAGGATGGAGTGTTGAAGGGGCTTTGCTGGAAAACAAAGCTTTGATTTACTGGTCAACACCCCTGTGTGGTGTCGCGTCACACTTTATAGCGTTACGACTGCAAATCAATTATGACCAATAAGGTGTGATGGTTCCATTTAAATATGAAATATCAATGTGATTGATCTTTGAATGTTTAGTCAGAAGATTATAGTTACTTTTACTTGTTCAGGGACCATAAACACACTTCGTATTAATTCAGACAGAGTCGGGTATAAAGTTAAAAAGGAATTTTATTCTTTTCTAAACTAATGATAATACATGACAAGACACGAATAATGAGATGTGATGGAGTGGATATGTGGTGGTGGAGTGTGATGTGAAGGTGGTGTGGTGTAAGTTAGATGTGTATCAGAGCCTTTGTATCTGAAAAAAATTGTGAAATCTGGGTGTAAAAAAATTGTAGTCTGCCATAAACTAGAGAGTCGATTATTAATAAAACAGCATCAGACGCAATCTGTTGTGTCTACAAACCCTGGCGGAGACCCCCAGCAGATCCGGACTGTCAGAAGTCGGGTGGACCTCACGGTACCGGGATTTCGTAGATTGAACTCTGATACGACCCGTCCAGTCTTGAGAGGTCTCCAGGTCACAACAGTAGCTGGAATGCTTGTTTGCATCCAAAGTGGACGCGGCTCTTAAGGAGCCGTCTGGCTGTGTCAGCTTGCAGCGTGCAGACGGGTTTTGACTGAATGTCAAAAGAGATGCCTCAAGGATGCTTGTTCCGAATTGGCCGGTTCGGAATTCCGCTAGAAACTGAATTACTCAGGAAGTAATTCTTGTTTTATTAAACTACTTTGTTATAATTTCTGGCCATTCTGGCAAATCAGAATGTTCCATGTCTACAGTACAAAAAATTGGTTTTTATCACCTGAAAAACATCGCCAGAGTCCGCCCCTTTCTCTCTCTCTGGCCGATACAGAAACGCTGATGCACGCTTTTATCACCAGTAGAAGTGATTACTGTAATGCCCTGCTTTCTGGTCTTCCCAAAAAGATTACCTCAGGTTTACAACTCCTACAAAACTCAGCAGCTCGTGTCCTGACTAAGACCAGGAGGCAGGAGCACATTACACCCGTCTTAAACGAGCTGCATTGGCTTCCTGTACGTTTCAGGATTGATTTTAACTTTCTTTTAATGGTTTTTAAATGTCTTAATGGTCTTGGGCAGGGATTCCCAAAGTGTGGTGCGCGCACCCCTGGGGGTGCGCGAGCTGCCGCTAGGGGGTGCGCGAGGTGAAAAGTGTAATGGCTGCGGAGCTCAGAGAAGTCTGTCATATGTCACCATTAGCGTAGAAACTCATTTGTGGGTGGGCCAAAGAAAAAGTAAGTGGGCCCAATAAATGTAATTGAAAACAAGTATACTTTTGCGCGCGCGTGCGTGTCCTCCACATGTGCCATAGCTTCATAATAACAATGAGCTGAGCTTCAGCACTCTGGCCTGCGCACGCCGATATGTTCCGTATTTGATCATTTTTAACGTGTTGGAGGAATCTGAAGGTGGTGAGTCATTCTGGCAGATTGTAATTAACACCTGTCTCATGCAGGTGTTCTGACGTTGTAAACCTCACACACAGAACATTGTGGATGTAATAAAATAACAAGAAATGATTCCCATTCAGGCTATTAACAGCGCGCTGAAGATCTGAAGTTCAGAGTGCGTCTGTCAGAGGTCAGACGCGTTCCGGCTGAACCACGGCTCACGGGTGCACAAGTGAGCACATCTGGGCTGGGCAGAAGTTATTTTACAACATTGGTTTAAATAGCGCGAGACGCGGTGACTGGAGCGGCTGTGCCGCGCGCGCGTGCGTGCGCGCACACACACACACAGATTCAATAAGCGCACACGCTGCTTTAACTCCGGCGCGCCGTCAGACTGAAGGCAGAAATGAACGCTGCCTCCACCGTGATAAAAACTTTTAAGAGGTTATTTCTCATTCAAGGTCAAATTAAGATATTAGCTTCTGGGATGAGTCGGGTCCGCTCCAGCCAGTGACTCCTCATGAACCTGACCACATCTCATGTTACTGCAGCATTTGTTATTCCAGTCTGCGTGGCAGCGGATCGCAGATTCAGCCACACCATAAAACAGCAATAAGTCGGTCTGAGGTAAAAGTGAACATCATGGCTATATCTTGTCCCCTATTGACATTTGATTACACACAAGTAGGTGATCAGCTCAGGTTTACGCAGAGCAGAAGGAAGGAGAGCGCTCTGGCCGCACAGGTTAAACGTTCCTACTTTAAGAAAACCGTTAAACTGCATTGTTTATGTGCTACCTGGGCACTCTAAATATTTATTTAAAATGAAATCAAAGGAAATTGTAATGGTATCGAATGTGTCGACATGGTCGGGACAGAGAAGGGGGTGCGCGGCTAAATAAGTTTGGGAACCACTGGTCTTGGGCCTTCTTATCTCTCAGAACTGCTTCATAAATACGAGCCTTCGCGGTCCCTGCGCTCCCCTGGCAGCCGTCTCCTCGTCATTCCAAAAGCCAGGACACACTACCAAGGTGAGGCATCCTTCCAGTTTTATGGCCCTCACCTCTGAAACAGTCTGCCAGAGGACCTCAGGGCCGTAGAGTGTTCTTGTTTTTAAGGCCAGGCTCAAGACTCACCTTATTAGTATAGCTTTTAAGTGATTTTGATCTATTTTAACATGTTTTTACCATCTTTTATATATTTTATCAGTGTTTTGTTACTTACTCTTTTACTTAAATGACACATATTTTCTTATTATTAATTTTAACTTGTAATAATTATTAGCTTTAACCAGTATTAATAATCTGTAGTACAATATTTTTATATATTTAATTATATGTTTCTACTTAGTTATCTTTAATCAGTGTGTTTTATTTAGATTTTTATTTATCAGCTGTTGATGTTTAATTTGATTCTTAACTTATCTTAGTCTCATTAGTAAACCGGTGTTTCCACACAAAGGGGATCTTGTATGTGAATCTGTGTGGGAGGGGTGGGAAACCGACTGCTGTCTGGTTGTTTTTAATACTGTAAAGCACTTTGAGCTGCACTTGTATGAAAAGCGCTTCATAAATAAATTTGATTGATTGATTGACTGATTGATTGATTGATGTCTGGAGGGCTTTACCAAAACATTCCCCAGAAAGCCACGCCTTCCTTCAGATTCAAAAATGTTTTAAACCTTAATATGTATCCTATTGTAACGTGTATGAGAATAAACAACGATTCACTTGTTAAATCAAACACATAGTGATTTGTGATATAAATGGATCATTGCAAGAACAATATTCATTTCAAATTCATTGATTTAAGTACAGGTTATACAAACATTTCATTTAGACATCTTGCTCATTCATCACACATGATTATTTAACTTGTAAACTGTAAAGTCTAGTAGGATTCGTGTGGATTCACTTTTATTCAGAGTGAGGAATCCAGCAGTCTGGGCAGAGAGGGAGAAGGTTTTTGCAGGAGACCATGGCAGTTTATTTATGTCTGCGTTGAAGAACAATGAGTGAGCAAAAGGTTGATTTGTGCATCTGAATCCTCCAGCTGGTGTAACCTTGACTTTGCAGCTCTGGCGTGTTTGAAAGGTTACTGTGCCAATTTGATGGTGAAAACTGACCCCTTTGATTCATTACAGTGGGTCAAATTTGGGCTGGTGATTACTGTGAGAGTCATGTTTTTTATACATCCATCCATTTTCTTCCACTTATCTGAAGTCGAGTCACGGGGGCAGCAACCTGAGTCGAGAGGCCCAGACTTCCCTCTCCCCAGCAACTTGGGCCAGCTCTTCCGGGGGAATCCCAAGGCGTTCCCTGGCCAGGTGAGAGACATAGTCCTTCCACCGTGTCCTGGGTCTACCTTTAGGTCTCCTCCCGGTTGGACGTGCCCGGAAAATCTCACCAGGGAGGCGTCCAGGAGGCATCCTGACCAGATGCCCAAGCCACCTCAGCTGGATCCTCTTGATGTGGAGGAGCAGCAGATCTACTCCGAGCCCCTCCCGGATGACCGAGCTTCTCACCCTCTCTCTAAAGTAGAGTCCAGCCACTCCGCAGAGAAAACTAATTTTGGCCGGTAAATCGAGAGCTTCGCCTTCTGACTCAGCTCTCTTCACCACGACAGACCGATACAACACCCGCATCACTGCAGATGCAGCACCAATCCGCCTATCGATCTCACGCTCCATCTTCCCCACACTCGTGAACAACCCCCGAGATACTTTGACTCCTCCACTTGGGGCAGGACCTCATCCCTGACACAGAGTCGTGGTATTTTTTATTTTTTTTTGCTTCTAATGTGCTTTCAACACCATCCAGCTATCTTTACTGCAGCAGAAGATGATGGGTACAGCAGTGGATGGACATTTGACTGCATCACGGCCTCACCAACAGTCCACAGTACATGAGGCTGCACAACCGTATGTTTGAGATGCTTGTGTGTAATACCGGAGTTCCGCAGGGTACGGTGCTCTCACCCTTTCTATTTACCTTCTACACCTTGGACTTCACACATGCACATGCTGGTGATGATTAGAGCCACAGTTGCCCTGGGGAGCACTGACAGAGGCGAATACACACCTGATTTTAATCAGTAGGTGATTAAGAGGATGAACAGGTGATTCAACCACTGAATAAAGAGTGTTGGAAAAGGGAAACAACTAAAACATGCTGGATAGTGGCCCTCAAGGATCGGTATTAGAGACATCTGCTCTAATTCAGCAATTTTTGATAGCCCAAGCTTAATTTAGCCCATATATATCCCACATAATGCCCATGTGGACCCAAACAACAAAGCTAAGCCCATGCTCAGCCAAAGCCCAACTAACCCCGGTGAGGGGTCCATATGGGGCCCAACTGGATGTGTTTGCGGAGTTTGGATCATAACTGAAATACAAGATCCTGAATGCAAGTGGTTGAAATGATCCTTCTCTGAAGAGTGGCTGGGCTCAGGTTAAGGAGCTCCATCATCTCATAGTGCTGGTGCTCATCCTCAATGACAGAAATCAGCTGAGGTGATTCATGCATCTGACTAGGGAGCATTCAGAGGTTTTTCCACCGAGTAACTGTGGTTTCATTTCCTCCGGTCTAACTTTTGCTGTTTTATACATGCTTTTGTTTGTTAAGTGCACACAACAAGGCATTGGGGTAATCTTCTGTGCATGGGTTTCTGCAGCCTACTGAGGGATGCATTTGCAGTATGAGCTCACCTGCTGCAGGACAGAAGAGAGCAGCTGAAGTCTCTGCTGCTGTTCCGAGTCAGCCTGTCCCACCTGATGCAAACACAAAGCAGCACATGCAACACAGGAAAAACACCAAACACAGCAAATCAGGAGACGCACAAGATGAAACACAGCATCAGCAGGTGATATGAGGACGTTTTTAGAGGTAGAACTAAAAAGTAGAAATTCTACAACAAGCAGACATACAGACACATGAGCCAAAGACAGAAGATGATAGAATGATGGAGAATAAACCCTCATGTGTCTCACCTGGTTGTTTGAGAGCTCCCCCTCCTGGGCAGAAGGTGAAACAGCAGGGAAACTGGCACTGGATACACTCCTCCTGGCTCCTGCGACCTTCCCCACCTCTCTTTTCTGTTGTCTCTTACTCACTCTGTTCATCTCTCTTCTGTCGCCTCTCTTTTGCGCCGGCTCGTCTACTTTCTCCTCCAAACTCTCACTTCCCTCCTCCTGAACTTCCTCTCTCACCGAGGAACTCTTCTCCAGTCTTGCACCTCTTTTTACCTCTTGTCCGTTCACTCGTTCCAGAGCTTCTCCGTCCATCTCCCTGTTGTCACTCGCACGCCGCCTTGGCCTCTCTGACTCCTTTGGTCGTAGCTTCTCTTTCTGCTTCTCACTTGCTTTTTCCGTCTGTTTGTTCTTCTGCATGCACTCCTCGTCAGACGAGCTGGTATCTTTGCTGTTGCCTCGACTGACCATCTGAATGAGTTTAGATTGTACTTCTTCTTCCATATTGTCTCCTTTGCAAAATTCAAGACCCAAGCTCCTGGAGAAGAGCTGCGGCCTTGGGGACATGGGTTGGTGCTGAAGAGGGTTGGGGGCTGGGGAGTGTGGAGCCACGATATCAAAGACCTCTGTTTCAGGCATCGTAGGATCTAATGGGGCAGTTGTGGCTGTTAGTTTGCAGTCAGGAACTGGCTGCTCATCACTTAAACCTCTCTTCAGCAGAGCGTGGAGCAGAAAACCGCTGTTATCCTTGAACGTGAGCAAAAAGGTACAGAGATTCATTCTTGGAAACTATTAAAATATTGTTGCACGCCTGAAATAAACAAATTTACTGTACTTGTGCTAAGGGGTAGATGGACTGTGCGTGACTTGGGCCTCCTGGCCTGCTCTGCTCCGCTGACGACTCCTTTTTGCTCCTCCTGCGTCGCCGCGATATCCTAAAGCTCTGCTTCTCCTCAGCATCACTGCTGTCCCCAGTCACCTGGGAACAAGGACAGGATGTCACAGAACTGCTCTGCTCCTATTAAAATGTAAAAAAAAATGTATAATCACCATTTTAAAAATTTCCATCTATTTATTAGTAAAATATTCTTTGAATTATCTTCGTTATTTTCTGCACTTATTCTGAAATCCTGCACTTATTCTGAAATCCTCACAGGCTAAATTCCCAGTAATCACTGATATTTTCATAAATTAATCTATTTTAAGTGACCAAAAAAGGAGAAAAGCTCAAAAATAGCGACTGAAGAGTCCACATTGTTAATTAGAGTAACTTTTAAAGAACTTTAAGTGTGATGCTCCAAGTAAAAACTTGAATTATTTTAAATGAGACATATTATGAATTTTTTCTTAAGTTATAATAGTTCTGATACCAAACATGTCTATAAAGTTCTCTGCACTAAAACCCATGAAGCCATTTCTGTTGTCTTATTCTTGACAATTTCAGTACCTTCCAGAATGAGTCATTTCAAGACTGTCACTTTAGGAAAACAAGCTGGCCACGCCCACCCACCCACTGCTCGGGTTGCTATAAGCTGAAAAGCTCTGATATCCAGAAGTGGCTCAGAATAGATCCACAGGAGGAGCAGCGGAAGCTTTCTTCCACGTGTGAGGTGGGCCTATGATAATTTTCCCATTTGTGACATCACAAAAGGGGACTTTTTTTGAAATGGCTTGTTTTTAGGCACCTAAAACCAAGCTCTGATGAAAAAAATGTCAGCTTAATTTACACATATGTGTCAATATGCTATCCTGATAGAGTCAAATGCCAAGATCTGGAGTTAGCATAAAACCTAGCTTGAAGCAACAACTTGGCATTAGCGTTTAGGTTTTTTACTTATGTATAAAGCTATGAGGAAAGGTGTGTATCTGACATAACAGAGGGAAAAAAGTGCCAGAACATTTGGCACAAACAAAGCACCTTGGGGTTAAAGTTCACATCCAGGGCCTCTGAGTGGGCTGTGTAAGGAGGTAAGTTCTGCTGAAGGTGTTGTTGGTACAGCGGCTGCTGATGAGGGTGCAGAAAAGCATCGGCTGGTCCTTTCTTCTTTAGCAGGTTGTGAGGTGGTTTTCGAGGATACGCTGACAGCACAGACGAGGCTTCGGAGTCTGAGTTGAGGGTTTCTGTGTTGGTGTACTGCCCAGAGGATGGCGAGGTGACAGGAAGGTGCTGGGTGTAAGTCCATTCCGGGTCGTGCTGCGAGTCCGTGTAGTACGTTTCATCGGACAGTTTGCGCCTGAACTGCTGCAGCGCCGCGCCCCAGCCTCCTTCGTCTGCCACCTCGTCTTCCTCCTCAGATCCCATCTCATCGTAAGCAGACACGACGTTGGACTCTTGTTCCAGAACGCTGAACACTAAACTCTTCCTCTTGGTGAGCAGGCTGGGCCGAGAAAGCTGAGAGCTGTGCAGCGCGATCCAGTTCCCATCTGGGCTCTGGAGCACAGAGGATGCACCTAAAAGGAAATGCAACAAACCTTTAACATTAATGAAAAAAGTCCAAGAATTTCACAAAGACGGCATTTACTCAGAACTATCATTACATCACCAAGGGCTTCAAAAGCAAGAAATACCACTAATTCACTCAGATGCCTCATTATGTCTAAGGAAAATAAAAATAACATATTTTGTTTACTTGAGTTGTCCAGACGATCCATACTTTTCCAGCCAGGTAAAGATGCAACCTTGGCCTCTCTTTTTAGAGACACGTACTCCTGCAAGGCTCCGCCTCCTGCTCCAGCAGCCTCCTCCTCTGGACCTTTATCTAGGGAGTCGTCGCTGGTGAGGGAGAACGCTGAGCGGGACCTCTGTAAGCACACACAGAAGTATGAGCAAAACGAGACACTAACATGAGTAACAGGAGATTTTCTTCTTACCAAGGAAACAGCGACCACAACTGTGGAGCTTCACTTTTGAACATCCTGTTAAATCTCTCTTATTTTTTAAGGTTTTATGCCCTTTTTCAACCTTTACAAACAGATAGAGCTCAACTCTGATATCTTTCATCACTTAGTTTGCAATGACACAATCTGAGCAGCAGGTGGCGCTGTAGAACAAGTTAAAAGAGGAACTGACTTGATGGAAAAAAGTAGGATTTCACTCTAGATTGATTCAGCTGGTTTTTCACAGCCTGCTCACATGTTGTAAAATAGTTTTCTTCAGGTAAAAAGGAACAAAAAGTTTCAGATAAAACCAACAACAAGGATAATAATATTGGTAAAAAAATCCTAAAATTGGTTGGATTCACTGAAAGTTTCATTTCACAGAGCTGTTGGTGTTTATTTGCATGCATTGTGTGAGTGGATGTGCTTGCAGAAGGCTGATAAGCAGGCAGGCTGAGGAGTCTAAGAGGATCCTTGCATATTTCACAGGACTTTGATCTTCCATGAGCGAAACAGCAGGAAACAGAGAGGCCTGGGGAGTGCAGCTTTGATGCTCCGCTCACACAAACCACAATGACAAATCTATAAACGTCCCCGCTGGCTACAGCGTGGAAAGTAGAAGCACTGGTTCAGGATTTTCATCCTTCACAGCATCCGTTCACTTCAATACTTCAGCTCAAAATGAACGCCTAATGAGCATTGGTTAGAGTTTCTGGTCCATGACAGCATCACGCTGTTCCATTCACGATGAGAATCTCATGTTCCACCAAATCCTAAAGGTTCTGGGCAGCTGGGCCAGACTGGGAACTCATGGTCACGTTCTAGAAACCAGTTAGATATGATCTGAGCTTTGTGAAATGTGCTTTTTCCTGCTGGAGGTGCCATCAGAAGACGGGTTCACAGTGGATATGAATTATATATAAGAAAACTACATGGGTACCTACAGGTTTTGTCCAGAGTTTCCATGGTGGCCCCACAGGAGGTTGCCCACAAAGATTTCAGAGGGACCCAGACGGTTTGACTCGTAGATTGGTCCTTTATGGGGGGAAACCTCTGTGGGGTCACCATGGAAACCGCAGACAAAACATGTTAGGACCCATATGGTTTGCTCATACATAATCCATACATGCACCGGAATATACCGGTGCACCATTTCCAGGAACCACCAGTTACCCACATCCCAGCTGAGCTTCAGACGGCAGGTTTTAGGGTTTTATTTCTTGATATTTGAACATCTCGCCTCTAGGGATGGGTACCAAATTCGGTACTTTTTAAGGTACCGACCGAATTCCATAGTACCGACCGAGCACCAATTCACTTCATTTGAAACGGTGCCTCGTTTCGGTACCCGTCCTTCACAACGAGAACTTGCCTAGACAGCTGCGCATGCGCAAGAGCCTTATGTCGTCGCTCGCTGCGATCCAGTTGTAAACAGAGCAGCATGGTAGAAAAAATGCACGCTAAAGCTTGGGTCCACTTCACTAAATGTGATGGGTAACTGGGTGATGTTGAAACCAGCGACAACGATCTAAGTGAGACATCCTCATCTTAATCTGCTCCGGTAGGTAAATAAAATGTAAGATAACGTTAGCTTGATTTGTTAGCTTCCGTTTCACTAATGGTGCGTTCGCTTTGTCCTCGGAACTCCGAAGTTCCGACTAGAAGAACATGAACGCGCACTAAAGTTTGGCTTCACTTTACTAAATGCGACGGGTGATTGGGTGAAGATGAAACCAGTGACAACGATCTAAGTGTGAGGCATCATCGTTTAAATCTGCTCCAGCAGTTAAATAAACTGTTTAAGATAACGTTAGCTTGATATGTTAGCTTCCATTGCTACCATTGTTATCAGCTAATGGTGCGTTCGCTTTCTCCTCGGAAATTCTAACTTCCCAGTGGGAAAAATCAAATGAAAAAGGACGGCAAAAGGAATGAAGACACACAGTAAATTTAGTTCACAGTAAAGATGTTTGCTTCAGTTTAATTATCAGCTTATAAAACTACAAGGACGATGTTAAAATACAAACAGTTGTATGTTATTTATCGTGATATTTATCACATATGGTTATACATTGAGAAAAATATGTATCTAATTATAAAAGAGAATTAAAATATTAAACACTCAAAAGTATCGAAAATTGGTACCGTTAAGTACCGGTATCGATTCGTAGGTACCGGGAATTAGTACCGAATCGATTCAAATGTCAAAGGTACCCATCCCTACTCGCCTCTGATTGGATAAAAGCAACAGAGCTCTACCACAGACTTGCAACAGTGATGTTTCATCTCCACAAACTACACAAGCCTGGAGGAGTTCTGCCACGTGGTGAACTTGCTAATGCTAACGGTTAGCTTAAACTCCCCGAGACATCCGTTACTGCTAACGCTAAAACAACAACGGTCTTCCTCATCGTGAGTCAAGATGGGCGAGTCCATGAATGTTAATTCTCAGTGTGGCGTGAAGAGAGGATTTCTCTTCTGTGATTTGCAAATCCTAGACTGAGCGATTATAATCAGAAGTAACCGTTAACAAATGGTTTTTCAGTGTTCCACACCTTAAACCTGAATAAACTAATCTACAACGGTTATTGGGCTACTGCTGAGCAAAGGAGTGGACATGGTTGGCGAAAATTCAAAACATCTATTTTGTGAGAAGGGCCTCATCCTCGCTGTGACACATGGCGGTGGAAATGTTTGTGGTTGCTTCACCACCCCAGAGTCTGGGCAGCATCAGTGATTCGGTTATGACTTCTGCTTAATGTGACAGAGTTAGCATCCAAACGGTGACGTCATATAGAACAGTTTAGTCTGTTAATGCAACAGAGGACACACGGGGCCTTCAGCCACTTGGATCGACTCACCCAGAGAGGGTAGGGGCTCTTGAGAGGGTCTTGTGAAGAAGTGTGAGGCTGAGAAGGAGAGGGAAGTTCACCAGGTGTGATCAGAGACTGAGGCTGTGGCCAGACAAAGTCATACTCTGTTTGCATCTCTGAACGCTTCCTTCTCTGGATGATCTGGAAGAAAAAGGAGGATCAGGAGACAGAAAACGGTCTGGACGGAGCAAACGGATTTGGAAGACGTTCCTAAAACCTAAAACTATGTACATTTAATGGTGAAGTCAGTTTTTAAAAAGTAAAAAAAAAATTACAAAAAAAAGACAGATTTTCATTCTATTTCTAATTCCAGCGTACTTTTTGTACAATTGTTGTGGCGAGTTCCTCTATGAGCTCTTCTTTGTGGTCCCGTAGATATCGAGCCTCATTTTGCTTTTCCTTTAAACACACACAAGAACACACACACACACTGATTTAGAACAAAAGCGCAGAGACAGCAGGATATTGCAGAGATGTCTCAGTGATTTCTCACCAAACTGTCTCGAAACTCCTCTGCCTTTGCAATGGCCTCCTCTATAGCTTCCTCTGCGACCCGCAGGGCGACTGTGAGGGTTTCTGCCACGCTGTGTCCTGCTCATGCACAAAATAAAGCAAAACTAAGGAAAATATGACCACTTTGTAATGCATTTCCACATTGTCCATCTTTCCATCCGTATTCAGCCACTCTTTTAGGACAAAGAAGCTGCTGCAGCAGCATCAGCAGAAATCCATAGACCAGCAAAACCACAGCAACCTTCTTCAGCTCCCCATGGAGACTTCTAGGCATCTCCAGGCCAGATGTGATATAATCTGTGGGTCTGTCCAGAGATCTCCCGGTGGGACGCATCTGAAACACCCCCCTAGGGAAAATCCAGATAGAATCCTTGCCAGATTTCCAAACCATCTCAACAGGATGTAGCCTCGTTCTTTTGGTCATTGGCTCATGAGCACAGGTCAGGCTTGGAACGTATCGGTAAATCGGCAAGGTCTAATTTTGACACAGCTCTCTCCTCATCGTGAGTTCACACCACAGCACACACTGCCTCGGTTCGACCATCAATCCTCTGCTCCATTCAATTCTCAGTGAACTGCTCCAACTGGAACAGTCACTCATTCCCATTCCAGAGGTGGCAGTCCTCGTTTCCGGTTGAGGCCTCACAAATCCCCGCTGATTAATTTCTGCTGCCTCACACTCGTCTGTAAACATCTCAGAAGCCTGCTGGAAGTCTCGGCTGAACAAAACACCTGCATAAAAGCAGCGAGGAAATCCAAAGCCCCATCCAAGGTCGGACACCTTCCATTATTGGCTGCGCTAACCTGTATTATGAACAGAACCTATGACAAATGACACACTTATCCTTGAGAGGCTAAAGCGCTGGTCTAGTGATCGACTACCAGGATGAAAACCCCGTCTCCTGAATCAAAGGCTGGAGTCTCAGTCAGACTCTACTCCAGCATCCTAGCAAAGACCTCGTTGGGACCACCATCTTGATCTCCCAATCCCACGGTACCGTTTCCACCCTCTACGTAACAGTCGAGGCCAAGTAAACAAATAAACACATCCGATTGCAAATGTTCAACTGGATATTTTGTTTGATTTGTATATGAGGAAGTGAGTAGGACGGTACCATTTCATGTGATTTGTGAGAGGACACATCAGTGGTTTAATGTCTTAACAGGGCATTCAGGTGAATTTTATTGTGCCTGAAGTGTAGTGATTAAAAGAGGACACTAACTCGGTATGTGCAGGTAATTTTCATGCACTGATGGGCTTCCCCACGCACGTGCCAGTCAGGCAACGATTAACGGACAAAACGCCTTAAACGCCCAACCTTTTAGGAAAACAAGGAAGAGGACAAATGGAAAGGAGTTAAATCGATAAAAACGAGGAGAACTGAAACGGTAAAGGTAATGATGGTAATTGCGTCTGAAATCACCCTTCTGCAGCTGCCTGCTCATCAGCACATCCTCTCACCTTCACTCTGCTTGTAAAAGACGGAGTCGCTGCCGCAGATGCTGCCATCGTTGTCGATGCTTCCCTCGTGAACGCTGCTTTCTGAAACAGAGAAAGAAACCTTCAGACTTTTTCACACCGACGCGTGACGCTGAAGCACGTATAAAGTCGCTGCTTTCTCTTTGTTCTCTTGAACAAGTTAAAATTAGGTTACACCGACTCTGCAAAACCTTTTTTTAAACACACATTCCCAGTCCTGTTATGCTATCTTGTCAGTTTTACAGCTTTGCTTCATCTGCTCGGAGCCGATCCCTGCTGTGAATACAAAAACACAAAATGACAGCTGAAAGAAAATTACAAACTACCTGATCATTTATTTTGACTTTTAGATAAATCACATGCTCACACACACATCAAAACAATCCCAAGACATTCCTATTGTCGTTTTATTACAGCTAAACCAGGCCAAGTGTCTGGTGAGCTGTTGCTATATTTGTGTGGTTTTGAAGCAGAAATCAAAACTGTGACATAAATATAAATTCTGGTAGAATTTAAAATCGTTGCCATTAGTACCGAATCGATTCAAATGTCAAAGGTACCCATCCCTACTCGCCTCTGATTGGATAAAAGCAACAGAGCTCTACCACAGACTTGCAACAGTGATGTTTCATCTCCAAAAACTACACAAGCCTGGAGGAGTTCTGCCACGTGGTGAACTTGCTAATGCTAACGGTTAGCTTAAACTCCCCGAGACATCCGTTACTGCTAACGCTAAAACAACAACGGTCTTCCTCATCGTGAGTCAAGATGGGCGAGTCCATGAATGTTAATTCTCAGTGTGACGTGAAGAGAGGATTTCTCTTCTGTGATTTGCAAATCCTAGACTGAGCGATTATAATCAGAAGTAACCGTTAACAAATGGTTTTTCAGTGTTCCACACCTTAAACCTGAATAAACTAATCTACAACGGTTATTGGGCTACTGCTGAGCAAAGGAGTGGACATGGTTGGCGAAAATTCAAAACATCTATTTTGTGAGAAGGGCCTCATCCTCGCTGTGACACATGGCGGTGGAAATGTTTGTGGTTGCTTCACCACCCCAGAGTCTGGGCAGCATCAGAAATCAAAACTGTGACATAAATATAAATTCTGGTAGAATTTAAAATCGTTGCCATTTACAATGAAAATCCTCATGTGTGTTAGTTAAATAGATCTTACTTTAAAGGTGCATTATGTAAGAATGGTATCCTGTGGTCAAATTCCGTTGAGTTTCATGGCTGTTAACAGTTATGGATCAGTGTCAGAAGATTCTAGATGACGAGCGAAGATGAGTCATACTCAGTAAGTTGATCAGTGGTTAATCAATCAATCAATCAATCAATCAATCAATCAATCAATCAATCAATCAATCAAAGCCTTATTTATAAAGCGCCTTCCGCAACCCTGTCAGGAAGCCCAAGGCGCTGAACATGCGCTTAACATGCGGTTAATATATTTCACTGTAATATAAAATAGTAGGTAATTGAAAAAGTAACTTGTGATTTTTTTTATGTTCGATTGAATGACTGGCGACCTGTAGCCCTGACCCCCATCGTGAGCAAATGCTTCGAGAAGTTGGTCAGGGACTTCATCTGCTCTGCACTGCCCGATTCACTGGACCCTCTACAGTTTGCATACCGCCACAACAGGTCCACTGATGATGCCATAGCCCTGACACTCCATGCTGCCCTGTCACACCTGGAGAAGAGAGACACGTATGTGAGAATGCTGTTTGTAGATTACAGCTCAGCATTCAACACCATTGTTCCCTCGAAGCTGGACAGGAAACTGCAGGATCTAGGACTGAGCAGCTCCCTCTGCAGCTGGATCCTGAACTTTCTGTCTGACAGATGCCAGGTGGTCAGACTGGGCGGCACCACCTCATCCCCCGTCACACTGAACACTGGTGCACCGCAGGGGTGTGTGCTGAGCCCTCTCCTGTACTCACTCTACACCTACGACTGCACGGCCACGAGAAACTCCAACATCATTGTGAAGTATGCGGACGACACCACAGTGGTAGGTCTCATCACCAACGACGATGAGACGGCCTACAGGGAGGAGATCAGCGCCCTGACCCACTGGTGTCAGGACAACAGTCTCACCCTCAACGTCACAAAGACAAAAGAGATGATAGTGGACTTCCGGAGGAGCAGAGGAATACACACCCCCATCACCATCAATGGCGACGCTGTGGAGAGGGTGAGCAGTTTCCGTTTCCTTGGAGTTCACCTGGCTGAGGATCTTACGTGGTCAGTGCACACGGAAAATACAGTGAAGAAGGCACAGCAGTGCCTCTTTCTCAGAAGACTGAAAAGATTTGGCATGAGCCACCGCATCCTCAGGACCTTCTATCGCTGTGCCATTGAGAGCATCCTCACTGGATGCATCTCCGCCTGGTATGGCAACAGCACCGCTTACAACCGCAAAGCTCTCCAGAGAGTAGTGCGGTGTGCTGAAAGGATTATTGGAGGTGAGCTTCCCTCCCTCCAAGACATCTACAGGAAGCGGTGCCTAAGGAAAGCGGGGAGGATCATCAAAGACTCAAGTCACCCCAGCCATAAACTGTTCACTTCCATCAGAAAGGAGGTTCTGCAGCATCCGGTCCAGAACCAGCAGACTGAGAGACAGCTTTTTCCATCAGGCCATCAGACTGCTGAACACATCGCAGACACCCCACCCTCACTACTGAAACTCCAACATTACACACTCCATACTGTACATTAATGCCACTGTTTTGCACATACCAACCTCTGCATATTTTATATCTCTTATCTTATTGTTTACTTTATTCATTTGTATATTTAGATTAGCCATTTTTATATTTTACATGTTTTTACATTACTGTATTTTTGCACAACTCTGTTGCTGTGAAGCTCGCACACAAGAATTTCACTCGCATGTACTGTACCAGTGTACCTGCACATGTGACATGACAATAAAAGTGATTTGATTTGATTTGATCGATTGTTGCTAGCGTGCCGTTAGCATTGTGTCGTCTTGTGATCTGAACCACTAGGTGGCAGTATGCTGATATGGGGCGAAGGTGGCACAGGAGCCAAGTGCTCACCCGTAATCGGAAGGTTGCAGGTTCAAGCCCCGCTCAATCTGTCACTGTCTTTATGTCCTTGGACAAGACACTTAACCCACCCATCGTTCCACAAATGTGGAATGACCTACCAAGCAATACCAGAACAGGGGCTTCCTTTTCGATTTTCAAGAAACTCCTGAAGACCCTGCCCTTCAGAGAGCATCTTCTAAACTAGCACCCTCCCTGCACCCGTCCCCCTCTCTACCGTCCACTCCTTTGTTCCCTCCTCTCCATGATTCATCATGCTGCCTCACTGCCACCTACGACTGACTGGAAATTGTTTGTTGTTGTTGTGGTTGTTGTTGTTAGCCTCAAGGGCAACATGCCGATTGTAACTTGTAAGTCGCTTTGGACAAAAGCGTCTGCTAAATACATAAACATAAACATAAACCTTGCCTGCTGGTGGTGGTCAGAGGGACCAGTGGCGCCTGTGCTAGGCAGCCTCACCTCTGTCGGTGCGCCCCAGGGCAGCTGTGGCTACATTGTGCACCAGGGTGTGAATGTGCGTGTGAATGGGTGAATGACTGATGGTGTTGTAAAGCACCTTGGGGGGTTCCAGGACTCTAGAAGGTGCTATATCAAATAAAGGCCATTTACTTATGTATAGAGGTGTAGGGAGTTACTAGTGAGTTCTGTTACAGAGTGTTGCTAAGATGGATTCCTACATGTTTGCCCCTTCTCTGTAATAAAGTTCTACACGGATAAAGTTACTGCCTGTTTTCTACCCACCTCAAAACAAAACGCATTGTTAGCTCAACATTAGCCTCTAGCCTGCTTCACCTGATCTGAGAGTAAAAGATGCCGTGGTTTCTTAGGAGTACAAGAAATAACCTCTGGGTCACTCATGTTTCTGGCTTAGGATCTTTACAAAACGCTGCTGTTGCTCCGGCTGGTGTCGAATTACAAATGTCGGCGCAGCAGCTTGGCTGGTGCGGCCTCGGCAACCCCCCGGGCTCACAGAATATAAACAATGACTACGTCCCTCTTTAGCTTTTTTCAAAAGGAGTAAACTGACAACCCCCAGTCGTACATATTGTACCTTTAAAAGCACACAGTCCATTTGTAGCCTATTCACTCCTGTTAGATGTTTCTCTGGTGGTGTTCTCATTAGTCCCGTCGCCATAAAGGGGGAAGACTTAGGCTTGCAGCTCATTAAAAATAAAATCTATCGGAGAAGACAAGAGAGAAATTTGCCAAACCACTAAGGCTCTTTGACTGATCACACTTCCAGGTACTTTTCCTTATTTCCTGAGAAACGCAGACTAAACACAGGACGGAGCCAAAACAAGTTCTGACTGAACACTGGTTTTATACCGGCGCCTCAAACTCTGCTGTTGACAAAATAATCTCCATGGCTCCAGTTCTTGGCACAAGTCCTAATTCCTGTTGTTAATTTAGGCCTGTTGCTCCTCCTCCTAGTCCTCCTCTCTGCTGGGCAGGCTGCCGTTTCAGAGACGAGTCCTGGTGGTTCGATGCGAAGCTGGCGTCAACCAGCCAGAGCTGCTCAGATCCTGCCATGGCTGTCAGCCTGCCAGGGAAACAGCCCAGCCTCAAAATATCCTCACTCATCCACACATCAGTGCTGCTTTTGGATGCTACAAAGTTTGGTCTGTGTTCTTCTGTCGGCACAACGTGCAGACTTAACATTAAAAGTGTTCAGGGATAGGAAAATCGGAAGCGCAGAAGCTAGCGTGCCTCTATTTTCCATTCAGCATCAACAGTTGGGAGACGTGTTATTTAGTGGAGCTGTTATGAAAAAGCTTTGCAGGATTCCCAAAGCAGAGTAAGGCAGATGTCACATTAGTTCACGCTGACATCACACCTAGAAAACTGAGTTTTACCGTATGTCCGACTCAATTGGATGCTCAGAGTTCCCAGTCATGAGCCTGTGTGGGGTTTTTTACTAGCCACTGGTTTTCAGTCTAGCTCTGAATGAACAAACTGGAATCATTTTCGCCGGATTAGAGTTTCTG